TGTTACCACCGCGCCAAGGGTGAGGTAATGTTTTCGGTCACGTATGTCTGCCTGTCGTTCTGTCTGTGGACAACATTACTCAAAAACTTGTGGACGGATTGTCATGAAATTTTTACCACATGTGGKYACTGGGCCAAGGAACACAYYCTTAAATTTTCGTGATGTTCCGGATCACGATGTGGATACAGGAATTTCTTTTCTTTTAACATTCTGACATCAGCAAAGCTGTGATGCTTTCACAGGGCGTGGCTTTCAAAGTGTCCAGCAGGTGGCACTGTAGTATTGGTGTGCCCCTTTCTAACTCTATTACAGGATGGGGGAAATTGGTCTTGGCTGAGGTTCGCACTCTCCGAGTGCTTCTAGTTGTTGTTGTTGTTGTTGTTATTATTATTATTATTAATATTAATATTATCATTATTATATTTTGTTTGCAGGCGTCTTCACTGCACCAGAAACTACATCCACATGCACYTGTTTGTTTCCTTCATGCTACGGGCGGTCAGCATCTTCATAAAGGACAAAGTTGTTTATTCCAGCGCCGGTTTGCAGGACTTTGACTCGGCCCTGATGGACAACTTGAAAACAGTTAGCATCGCTTCACTTGACAAGTCTCAATACGTAAGTTTCAAACTTTTTCAGAACTTYGTTTTCAAAGTTCTGTAATTTCAGCACTAATTTAGTACTAATTAATGCATTAATTAAGAGTACAGCACTTTTAAAAGATTAATTTAATTCCCAAATAACTAAAAGAGAAGCATACCTTTTCGTTTGTTAGATTTTTTTTACCTGAATATTGTTTCTAAACTTGTATCAAAATCGTRTTAAAGCACAAACTGCAGGCTGGTAGTTAATGCAAAAAAAGACTTTGGAGTTTATTTAAAAGAAAGGCACTGCAAAAAATCCAGAGAAAATATAGAAATATATGTTCAACATGACAAGGCTTGACAAAAAGAAAGAACTGCCACTAAACAAAGATAAATCTGGAGTGAATAGACAAGAGTAATGAGTCGCAGGTGGCAGTAATCAGTTAAAGATAAGGAAACAAGATGAGCCACAGAGAAAAACAACAAAGGAGATTATATCAGAAGCAAAAGAGTTATCTTTTTTTTATTTAGATTCAAGTTGGCGTCAACTCCAGGGTTACTGTGTCCTCAACAACACATCTGCTGCCACATCAACTTTAAAAATATCTACCTTCTACAGCCGGAGCGAACACTGAAGAGTGATTGTCATGGATACAGACCGCAGAGGGAGACGAGGGTATCATGACTGACTTTGACAGAGAGAAACACGCTCACAAAGTTGCTAGAAGTTGCTTAGATGCTTTGTTTGGGAGAAAGAATGTGGCATCCTCACTAAGAATACCACTTTTACTGGAGGGGCTGGAACTTTTCTGTTGTTCACYGTACATTTCCTGAATACGAGGCAGAGATGTAAGCGGCCGACTTCGACTGAMACCGTAAAGCCATGTCGTTTTGAAGACATACCATCTCCAAAATGTGATTTAACGTCTYGTTATTTTGAGATGCTAAATGAAAATTAAAAGCATGTTGGATCGGTGGTTTGCTCCGACGCCTCACTGACATGGAGTCTTTCTTTGCAAAGTTTTCATGTTCTTCCTTGTGCTTGCGTGGGCTTTCTCTGGGTACTCCAGTTTCCCCCACCCCCGAAAATATGTACAATAAGTTGCCTTCAGGCCCAGGCCTCCCTTGAAGAAGAGATCTGTGATCTCAACGGGAGGTATTCAGTTAAAATTATTAAGTCAGGGGTCTGCAACCTTTACAATCAAAAGAGCCATTTCTGCTACTGACGYGGTAATAAAATGTGTCCAGAGCCACAAAACAAGCTACAACTGTGATTATCAACTGCTGGTCCGTGGGCCTTTTCAAGGCCTTTTCAGAAACATTTACGGCCAGTGGTGGTGACATTATAAAACTAAAGAATATATTGTCAATTTTATTATTTATTATTATTTTTACACGTGAGGACAAATGAAAAGCCCATAATCATGTAAACAAGAAAAATACTGTATATAGTTATTACCCAATTTCCTAAAAACTAGTACAACTGAACTAYTCAGCTGTATCTTTTTCTAATTCTTATTATAATGTAGTCTTTAAATTATTTTATGGTAATTCTAATAGATTCGAGAGAAATAAATTATATTATCTAAGTAAAAAAAACAGGCTTGTTGTTTTACTTTGTGTATTAGTAGTATTAATCATGTATTTGCATACAAATGAATTTCTTTTGTGAGTATAAAAACCAAAATAATTATTCTGTTAAGTTTGGTCACATTTTCAAGGAGCCACTGCAGAGGGACCAAAGAGCCACATGTGGCCCCAGAGCCGCAGGTTGCAGACCCATGTATTAAATCGTAAGTTTAACTTATCTTTAAGCTATGTTCACACCGAACGCGTTTTTGAGCAGCAAAAAACGTGCCCAACGCCTTGAGTTGGATGCACTATGTTCAGACCGGGACAGAGATTAGACATGTTTCTGAAAAGGGAGGAGCGTCTTGGTTTTTTTCTGGTCTGTCTTTAACGGTGGATGAAATAAAGATAAAATAAAGAAAACGGCTTTGCTTTATTTACTGAAAGCAAGCAAACGTTGTGCACACCAGATAATTAATTCACCAAATCATTTAGAGGTGGTTTGTTTCAGTGAATTTCACTCCAGGAGCTGCGAGCTGACAAGCTTTTTTTTTTGTCCCGAGCCCAGTTTAACACCACGGTCAGTTTAACGAGCCGCTGACCCACATCGGTGCTGATATCTCCAGCCAGAACACCAACTGCAGACGGTTGATTTCAGCTAAAGAGCTGCTGTTTGTCTGTTTCAGGTTAGTGGACAACATTCAGGAAACCGTCACATGGTGAAATGAGTCTCTCTGATTGGTCGACGCGGCGCGTCGAGCAGCAAAAGTTAAGACTTTTGAACGCGAGCATCAGCTGCTTTGGATGCACCGCATGCATGTAAAACACTCAACCATATCTCCCGCTTCCTTTGCGCCCCACGCTAAATGGCCAAACCGCTAGGGGTGTAAGAAAATATCGATACACTGAAATATCGCGATATTTCATTTCCCGATACTGTATCGATATTCTAAAGCCC